AGGCGACGACGACGACGACGACGCGGGAGGAGGGAGGACGGCGACGACCACGACCACGCAAGAGCCCGCGCGCACGCTTTTGTTGAAAATCCGTGTTGCGCCACCTTGGGTTTTTTGTAAGCTTTTTGGACACACGATTTTGAAATCCTTCCGAAACCGATGGGTTTTGAAGGATTTCGGCATACGCGCGCGACGACGCGCGCGTCTGCACTTCGTCCCGTTTTTTGCAGAGGATCCTCGCGACGACACGCGCGCAAGGGCGTTCGACAGATTTCGACATGCGCGCGCGCGAAGCCCGTTTGGTAGCATTTTGTGAAAATCTGGAAAAACCGATGACCGATGATATTTCGCAAGAGCTCGCGCGGAAGCTTTTTTAGCCAATCAGTGTTTCGAAACCCTGTGTTGTTGTATGTTTTTGGGGAACTCGATTGCGAAATCCTTGCGGCACCGAAGGTTTTTGAAGGATTTCGGCATGCGCGCGTGACGACGCGCGTGCGTGCGTGTGCATGTCGTTTTTTTTTGCAAGGGATTCGTGATCAAGTGCTATGTTAGAACAATAAAATGTCACCCCATAGTATCTTTTACAAGGGAACCTCAGGGGGGGATACCGGCCCCCCGGGGATAGTGCAAATTCATATTTCGGATGGACATGTTGTCAAAATCATATATGATTTTCATACCCGAAAAGGGGTAGCGATAACTCCGGGGGAGGAGAGTCTATTCTGTTTTTAGAAAGGTGCCATTGATTTTTACCAATGATGTGATACATCTTATGCTCTTGCAAACATCCCACCCACCCACCCGCAACCTGGTTTGCAAAACCTCTTAAGACCGTGACGGTGGGTTCCTGATGGCACTTGGCAACGACACCAGCGTCGACGACGACGACGACAACGCCGACGACGACTACGACGACACAGACAACATCTTCGACGACTTCGACGGCAACGACGACGACGACGACACCGACGACGACGACGACGACGATGCCGACGCCGCCGACGACGACAACGACGACGACGATGACGACGCCGACGACGACGACGCCGACGACGACGACGTCGACGACGCCGACGACGACGACGACGTCGACGACGACCACGACGACGGCGGCGACGACGACGACGCCGACGACGACGACGACGACGCCGACGCCGACGCCGACGCCGACGACGACGACGACGTCGCCAACGAAGACGACGACGACGACGAGCGAGGAGGGCTCACGACGACGGCGACAACGACGACAACGACGAGGGAGGAGGGAGGACGGCGACGACGCGAACGACGAAGAAGGAGGGAGGACGGCGACGCCGACGACGACAACGACGAGGGAGGAGGGAAGACGACGACGACAACGACGACGACGACGACGGCGACGAAATAGGAGGGACGACGACGAGACGCCGACGACGGACGACGACGACGAGGAAGGAGGAGGAAGGACGGCCACGGCGACAACGACGACAGAGGCGACCACGACGCCAAAGAGGACGACGTTGACGATCACGAGGAAAGGCAGAGGACGACGTAGTCGACGACGACGACGACGCGGGAGGAGGGAGGACGGCGACGACGACGACGACGACGCAAGAGTGCGCGCGCACGCTTTTGTTGAAAATCCGTGTTGAAAAAGGATTTCGGCATACACGCGCGACGACGCGCGCGGCTGCCTTTCGTCCTATTTGCTGCAAGGGATTCTCGCGACGGCACACGCGCAAGGGCGTTTGACAGATTTCGACATGCGCGCGCGAAGCCCGCTTGGTAGCATTTTGTGAACATCTTGAAAAACCGATGGTTTTCTTAAGATTTCGCAAGAGCTCGCGCGGAAGCTTCTTCAGCAAATCAGTGTTGCGAAACCATGTGCGAAATCCTTGCGGCACCGAGGGTTTTTGAAGGATTTCGGCATGCGCGCGCGACGACGCGCGCGTGTGCACTTCGTCCCATTTGTTCCCAGGGATTCTTGAGAAAGTCTTATGTTAGAACAGCAAATGTCCCGTCGTATCTTTTATGACAAGAGAACGTCAGGGGGGTCGATCCCGGCCCCTCTGGGATAGTGTATTTTCATATTTAGGATGGACATGTGGCCAGAATAAAATATGATTTACATACCCGAAAAGGGGGGCGGATAAAGCCGGGGGGGGGTAGAGTCTGTTCTGTTTTTAGGAAGGAGAATATATGTGGTACAGCCTGTGTTGTGCTATACATGGTTTGCAACCTTGTGGTTGGGCAAGCTATGTGATGCAACATGCGCGTTTCAATCTACATCGTGCCATGTAGATGGATGTGCAAGCTATGGTGTGCGATATACGCGGTGCAATCTACCTAATGAGCGATCATCAAGCGCGCCGCAGGCGCGATTTGCCTTTTGATAAAATTCTGTGGTGCAATGTAGCGGAGGTGACGAGGCGGCAACGAAGCGGCGACGGGCCGGCGACGGCGACAACATAGCCCCCAGACCGAGGACGCGGCCCAGACGACGGGCGGCGACGGGGCGGCGACGGCGACAATATAGCCGCCAGACCGACGACATGGCCCATTTCTTTAGATGAGAAGTAAGAGCGCCTAAGGTGCAAGCGCCGCTAGTGGAATTGTAGCTAATTGTAGCCGCGCAGCTGACCTTACGCTCAGATGCGCTTCAATAGCTACGGGATGTAACGTTTAGCTCAACGATGTTGAACCACAGTAGTGCGTTAGCCGGTTTAGCTAAAGCTTGATCAAGCTTAGCAAGTGGCTTGTTCAAAAGTAAGTAGCACCAGCGCCGAGCGTTACGGCCTGACCCCGCCGCTTGGTCTCAGTGCGGGTCAGCCGTGGGGGGGGGCACATCTATGGTTGCCCCCCTGAGATCGGTGTCGAGTTGTTTACATCACCCTTCGTTCTTTGGCGCCTTGGTACCATATGTCCCTCCCCCTGGGAACCTGCCCAACCTGCCCATTGGCAGCCATCGGCGGCATGTGGGCACAGAATACTGGAGCGCTGGCAAAGGCTGGCGCATCCCGTGCTCCCTCTTGCACTATCGATCTCACGATCGATCTCACTCAATCAATCTCACTCGATCAATCTCAGTATCGATCTCAAAACCGATTTCATCATCGATGTCTCTCGGCCGGTCTCACTGCCGATCTCACCATCGATCTCACAATCGATCCCACTATCGGTCTCACGATCGGTTTCCCTAACGATCTCCCTTTCGATCTCACTCGATCGGTCTCACTGTCGATATCACCATCGATCTCATTATCGATCATCATCATCAACAAAACATCACCATCAACATCCTAATCATCACCACCATCACCATCATCATCACCGTCATCATCATCTTCAGCACCATCACCATCACCATCACCATCACCATCATCATCATCATCATCATCATCATCATCATCATCATCATCATCATTATCATCATCGGGACACCGACGGGACACCGACGGGACACGGGCGGGACACCGGCGGGACACCGCGGGCCCCCAGACGCCCGGACGGCAATCATTTGGCCCGGCCGCGCCTCAGCCACACAGGACCCCAGCGGGACAACGGGCGGGACACCGCGGGCCCCCAGACGCCCGGACGGCAATCATTTGGTCCGGCCGCGCCTCAGCCCCATGTGCACTTTCTCTCGCCCGCCCACGCAGCTTCGCCTCGCCCGCACGCACGGCACGCACGAACACAAAACCGAAATCGATTTCCCGGTAGGGGGGCTCTCCTTTCCACTTCGATCTCACCCCCCAACCTCCGATCAGTAATACCTGTGTTTTCACATGGTGTCCCTACCGAAACCTTCAAACATATAAGTAATATCTATGTTTTCACATGGTCTCCTTACCAGAACCTTCAAGCACATAAGTCATATCTGGGTTGTCATATGGTTTCGGTCAGAACGCAGCCACTTTGTAAGGCTTTTCAAAACGAGATCCCTTTGTGAGGCTGCCACGCTCCTGCAGGAGGAGGAGGGGGAGCAGGAAAAGGGTATGAAAGAGAGAGAGAGAGAGAGAGAAGACGGAGAAGAAGTCATCGAAGATGAGGAGGACAATGTTTGATCTCAGGGGGGCTGACCATCTATTCATATGCACCGCCTGCCGAGGTTGCCGAGGATGGATCCCCCATGGCGGCGATTTGGGATAGATCGCCACCTCGCAGAGGTGCCTCAGGCCGGGCAGGTACCAGCAGATCCAGCACGTGGCGTCGATGCCGCCAGGATTCCCTAGTCTTTACAGGCCTTCGGCCTTCACGTCTTGGGGCTATTGCGGCCAGTTCCTCGCCAGCGGCCCTTTGTCATCAAGCTCTGTGGGGGGATTGTGCCAAATTCTGCCGCTGGCCGTGTGTGGCCACACAACGCACTGGGCTCTAGCCAGTTGCCTGACGCAGACGGAGTTCCGCATCAGGATCGAACATGTCGCATCCTGATGAGTTCTGGGTCGCGCGACGATGGGGTTAGGGTCGTCTCGAGCACTACTGGTTTTCGGCTAATAGCGATCTTCTCACCAGCCCATCCCTATCTTCCCATTTCCCGCCTTGCCGGGTCCCTGGAGGACTCCAGGCCTTCAGAGACCCAAAACGACAAGAACGAATACACCTTGAACATCGAGCGTCTCGCCCCCATTTCTCCCCCCCCCGTGCGGTAGTGTCGCGCCGCGTGAACGTGGCGGCGACATTGTCGCAGGCGTTCAAGGTTTGAGCGCCGCCAGTAGCGCAGAGTCGAACGACCTGCGCCATCGGAAAGCCGCGATCGTTCACAGGCTGAACGGACCATGTGGTGTCAGAAACGAACGCCGACGTCATCGCGATGTGAACCCACCGCGCCTTTAATTGGTGAGACTCGGGCTATTCACAGACAGGCCCTCATCCCCCAGAGATCGCCGCGGACTGCTCGTGGGGCCTGCCGATGCCAGAGCGGGGAGTTGGGACCAGCTGGGACCACCGAGAGGGGGCTGCCTCTGCGCAGCCCGAGACCTTCCACCGCCTCTGCCCTCCCCGCCCACCTCACCGCTGACCAGGCCCGCTGGCCTCGGCCCTTGGGACCACCCGCGCGGGCGCTCCGCCACCGCCTCGCAGCCCTGCGCGCACCGGCTCGCCGCCGCCCGCGCCGGACCCCGCCAACCCTGGGTCGGGGCCTCGGCGTCGGCGGTGGCGGCGGTGGCTCGCGCATCCAGCGCAGCTTGAGGATCAGAGGGGGAGACGCGACATGGTCTAGAAGGCACCTCCTGGGAGGTTCAATTCGGCATTGGCGGTGGTATATATCTGCGGACGAAAACTGGAGGAATCCGGCGTAATCCTGTTGAATCTGGTTTTATCCAGGCGACTACGGCTCCATCCAAGGCTCAAGTTGACCACGCCCGGCTTCATGGCCCGTTAGTGGGCCTTTCTAGCTTTAAATCGCTGTTGCGAAGAACTCCCATGGGGTAACTCTTCGCACACTGAGGACGCTACCCTTTCTTCGTTTTCTTTTTGTTTGGCCTCCTCAGGGTCCCTCGGAAGAGGTCTGGGGAGTATCGGTATCGGTATCTTCTGGTTTCCCCCTGATTAGAGAAAGACGCGTCCGTGTCAGTTTTTCTTAGATTCTGGCATGCCTATTTTCATGGACGGGCTTCGGGGGTCATGGCGAGGCCCGACACCAGACCTGCACTTCACGCAAGCCCGACTCACTTGCATGCCTTTGCGGCCCAGCCTTGTTCGACAAAGCAGCAGATGGGGAGTCAAATGTCACGCAAGTAAACTAGCCATAATCAAAACAAATAACGCTTTTCGCTTTTTGGGGGCTTCCTTGGGAAGCCCTCGATTCGCCTCGGCGTCCTGGTCGGGGCCTCGGCGACGACGCGGGCGATTCCCAGACCTCCGACGTGCCGATCGGTCCTAAGCTCCCCGAGCTGGGTCATCGTGTTGCACAGATCACCGGTGTTTATCTCCTTCTTCTCCCCCAGTCAGTCCTCTTCGTTTCATTGTCCCCTCGTTTCCTTAACGCGTCCTCCACTCCTGGGGGCTGCCATGTGCGCAGCTGCTGCCATTTATTTTGCTGCAGCGCTGAGAGGTCAAGCGTGGAATCCTAACGAGACCCCCGCCCTTCGTGCTAGCAGGCACGCGAGTTCCGCAGCTCCGCTGCCCCTTTGAGGTCCAGCGGAGTCGGCTCTTCCAAGTATTCAAACGCTATATCGTCACTTTGCTGCGTCGGGCCACACGGGGACCCGCACGAGACATCGCCCCCCCCTGGGCGTTACCAGGCGCGCAACTGCCGCCAAGTTGCTCCGCCGCTGAGAGGTCCAGTGGAGTCGAGTCTTACGCTGACGCATACGAGACCTCGCCTCCCCCGTGTCTTGCCAGGCACGCAACTGCCGCCATTTGCTGCGCCCCTGAGATGTCAAGCAGGGTCGGATCTGACGCGGGGCCGAGCGGGACCCCTCTTGGTGCGCTGCCAGGCGCACGACCGTCACGACTTTCCTGCGCTATGAAAAGGTCCAGCGGAACCGAGTCTGACGCGGACAGAAACGAGACATGCCCTCCCCCCCCCCCCTGGGCGTGGCCAGGCGCGCAAGTGTTACCTGTTCGCTGCGCCACTGTGATGCCCGCAGAATCAAGGCTGACCCAAACGAGACTTCGCCCTCCCCTGGCCGTTGCCAGGCACGCAGCTGTCGCCACTTTGCTGAGCCACTGAGAGGTCAAGCGGGATCGAGTTGCACGCGTACCCAAACGAGACATCGACCCCCCAGAGTGATGCCAGGCGCGAGACTGTCGCCATCTTGCTGCGCCCCTGAGAGGTCAAGCATATCGGATCTGACGAGGGCCGAAACGAGAGCCCCCCTTGATGCTGCCGATCACTCAATTGTCACCACTTGACTTGGCAGCGCCACGGGGAGGTCCAGTGTAGTCGGGCTTTACGCATATCACAACGAGACCTCGCCCTCCTTTCCTGGATGCTGCAAGGCGCGCAATTGTAGCCACTTTGCTGTGCCGCTGCAAGGTCCAGCGGTTTCGAGCGAGCCGGGTCTATCGCGCATCCGCACGAGACCTCGCCCACCTGGGTGCTCGACAGTTGCCACTTCTCTCTGCTGCCCCACTGGAAGGTCCAGCGGGGCCAGGTCTTACGATGATCAGGTCGAGACCTTGTCCTGCCTGGGCGTTGAGAGGCGCGCAGTGGTCGCGATGTTGCTGCGCCTCCCCTGGATGCTGCCAGGCGCGAAGCTCATGCTATTTCGCTTTGCTCCTGGGAGGGTCGGGCGCAGTCGCATCTTTCGTGGGCCCCAGCGAGACCTCGCCCCCCGTGGGTGCTGCCCGGCGCGAAATTGTCGCCACTTTGATGCGCCGGTGAGAGGTCCAGCGGATTGCTCTCCGTTCCGCAGGGGATTGTTTCAAGTGTGTTCGCTCGGGCGTGCGGTGGGACGGCTGCCTATGATTATTATAAATTTCGTAGTGGAGCGCATGTTCCTTCGGAAATCTGGAATAGAATGAAGGGGCCAATTGATGCTACCCCTTTTTTGCTGATATTGGCGTTTTGCATCTTGGTCACCAGGGGCCAGCTTTTGGCCTCTGCACCGTCAGCAAACAACCCACGGTAAACACGAGTCCCGGGAAAGGAAACGATCACTCGGGAGGGGCACGCACTGGAAGCATCCCACCGTCGGAGGTCTGGCAACGCAGCTTGAGCAAGCGAGGCGCTTGAACAGGCGGTGTTCCGGCAGCCGTGTCTCCTGCTTCCTCTTCGGGCTCCGGGGGCGGGCGGAAGCCCGACATTGATTGTGCTCTCAACGCCGTCCTGCTTCATGCTTCTGCCTGATTACTTCTTGCGGGCGCTGGGTTGCTGAGAGGCGACGGCGACACATGAAGGTGATCGGACGGAAAGGTAGGGACGTATCGGAAAGTATGGTCAGGCATCAGGCGTTGACGCCACGACCGCGCCGATCTTTTACCGCGGGTTGGAGAGGGCCGAGGTATGCTATGATCTGCCAGTGTAGCAGAGAGGCAGGGGGAGGAAACATAGCGGAGGTGGTGGAGGTTGAAAATGGAGGATGAGGAGTAGACGCATGATAAGGCGACCTCCTCCCCGGGGGGGGCCGCTTCTCGCCCCGCATCCATTGTTTGATGGCCCGGGGGCCCGATAACTTCGAGCAAGGGATCGACTACAGAATTAGAAGTAACTTGTGTTGCCGTCGGGTCTACGGAAGAAGTCTCGAATGTTCGGTAGATCGATCGAGCATTCTGTGTATTGTTCGTGGACTCGACGGGAACTCAAGTTTGGGGCAGATCAATTCTGTAGTCGATCCCCTACTCGAGTAATGGGCGTCCGAGGCCGGAAGTTGGGGAGAAGCGCCCAGAGTCAAAAAATCTGATCCTCGGGAGATCTGGGGGCCACCCTCGTCCGCCCCCGCCCCCCAGGGTCCCAGGGTCCACGTCGATCCCATCGAGCAGCTTCGACACCGACTGTGGCCGACTCGATCCGATCCGAATTCGGTTCCCCGGAGCGGCCGATGTCTGCATTGAGCTGCCGTGCATCCGAGCGCAGCCGACCCCATGCGAGCTCGAGGCCGTGCCGACGCAGCCCGATCCGACAGCACATTCCGATTCACTCCGATGTCTCGATTCGGTCCGATGTCTCGATTCGATCCGTTCGATCCGATTTCTCGATTCGATGTTGATGGATCCCGTCCCGCTGTGGAGCCTCGCAGCCGTACGATCTGAGTTGTGATAGCCCCCTTGAGGGGAAGCGGATTGTATACGGTTTCGGAGCAAGGGCAGAGGCTCGTGGGTTTTCGTTGGAGGGGAAAAAAGATGTTGATGGATCCCGTCCCCTCAGCTGGGCCCAGGTCGCCGCCCTCGGCGAGAAGCCATGCGAGACTGGGAAGCACGCTGCAGGCGCCCCTCCCCTCCGCGCCTGCGGGCCTCGTGCGCCCGCCCCCCGCCCTGAGCGGGGCAGGCTCGGCCGCTGCACGGCCCCGTCGGCTCCCGGGCACCGCTGCTCCGCGTCGCAGTTCGCGTCACAGTGCCCGTGCTGTCCATGCCTCCGTGGCGCCCGCGTCTGGCATTCTACGGTCGGGAATCGGATCGGTCGAAAGGGGTACCGACAGAAATGGGGACGAAGGCCGACAGCATCTCCTAACCATATTGGACAGTCTGTCTGAACAAGAATTGTGGCTGTTGGGCATTGTCCATTTCTTCGCATGTAATCGCCCAATTCGGGCGTGCCATGGAAGTTTTGTTAGCGTACCGCGCCGCTGGTTCTGGCCTACCACGCTTCGACGCGACACGCTGTATACGTCAGGCGTCCCGAGCTGTTCATGGTCTCCCGCCCCGCGGAGCGGAGCGACGTGCTATTCGCTCGCACGGCAAAGCGTGTCGCCGGGGCCTCCGCCACGACACGCCAAGCAAACGCCTTTGACCGTATGTTGTACCGTAGGTGTGTCCCTGACGAGATTGCCATTTGTCAATTTGCGTCCAACCCTCGGTTTTCTCATGCAGCCGCTGCAGAAGAGAGAGAGCGGAGTGCGATCCAGCCGTCTGGCCAGATTTGGGGGGGGTCGGGGTGCGCCACTAGGGCAGCCCGAACGGAGGCCTGAGTCCCGAAGTCCTTTATTTGTGGTCTCGGTTGTCGTCCTCCTTTCCCGCGTCACCGCCCGCATTGGCGCACCTGCCATGCGCAGGGCACAGAATACCCATCGACGTGTTTTTGGGCATTGGTGTCCGAAGCCGGTTCTGGGTGATTGTTTCTTTGATCGACGAGGTTAGTTTTTCTTCTCTTTGCATTCTGGAGCACAGCGTGCAGGAGATTCCTTGTTTGTGCACCGTGCCGTTTTCTTACTTGCGACCATGACATTGGCGCGATAGCCTCACGGGGAAGTGTCCACGCGCGCATTGTCTCGATGCCCAGCTATGCCTCGTTCTCGTTGGCATTGGTTTGTCTTCGCAGGAGCGGATGATGTTTTTGACTCGGACGTAGGCGAGGACGGTATTCAGGCAAGGCAGTGGTCATAATGAGCGGGGTAGATGTGGCCTCCTCTGGCTTGTTATACGGGGAACGTAGCTTTATCCAGCTGGTCCGTGCCAGTAGCGAGGAAGTGCTTCGACCAGTCATCGCGCATCCCGTCTTAGTCACAACCTCTGCAGCGCAGTTGAATGTGGAGTCCGCGGGTGACTGGGGGCATGGCTCTTGGCGCACGTTCACGACACAACCTCATGTTTGAAGGTTCCGTACGATTGAACATGAGTTGCGGGGTCCACCTTCTAGGAGGCTGGGCCCCCTAACCCCTACCCCTGCACCCCATCCAGGCCCATTCCTTCGCCAGGAGGTGCAGCAGGTGTATGTAGATGAGCAGACGTGCAGTCTGGGGAGGCGCTTCCAGCGCATGCTGTCCCAGGAGAGCATACTGTCCACAGGGCGTGGCTGTCTTCGGAGGTATAGCGGTGGTGTGTCTTAGCGGAATCAGCTCAGGTTCCGCAAGAGAGTTTTCGCGCAGCACTTACAAAAAGTTGACAGTATTGTAGATATTTGATTGAGCGGCGCTCTTTTGAGAGTGGCAGCCGAGTCCGGGTGGGCGGTCGTTACCGAATGTGCCCAAGAGGCTTCAGACCCTGGATAGGTCCTTATCTGATCAGGATGGTGGTGATGGCCATGGCCAAGCCTCATTTGGTGTTCAATCGGCTTTCAGACCATGGGCTCCTTATCCACAGGTTCCTTATCCAATGCCCTCACCTCAGTTAGCTTCTATCCAGAAACACCTGTGCCCAGATCTATGGTGGGAAGCTGTCCTTCAACTCTGCTGACACGACCTACATGCAGGAGACGAGCAGCGAGATGTTCTTATACGTCCAAGGCGCGAAGACGCTGACACTGAGCTCAACAGGCAGGTGCCGCCTCCGAAGCCGTCTTTCGTTGAGTATCTCGGCAGTCATGGGAGAACATACCGTTGCAATTGATGGCTTCAGTACGGTGGAGGTATTCGTTAAGGAATGTGTCCGGGATGCTCCATCAGACCCTGGAGGATTCCTATTTCCGATCAGGGCGGCGGTGATATCCATGGCCAAGTGTCAATTGGTGCCCCACCGTCTTTCAGACCCTGGATTCCTTACCCCCGGCTTTTTTTTTATCCTGTGCATTCACCGTAACACATATGCGGGTGAGGAACGCCAGCCATGGGCTCTGTTGTATTACTCCCCTGTCTTTTTACAAGTCAAAAGTACATGGGCACATGCCACCGGAATTCCTTATTCCCGTTGCAGTGCGTGCAGCACCCATTTCTTCTTTCATCCAGTTTTCTGTGCGTGCAAAATCGAGAGACCTTTGCCGACAGCTTGTTTCGTCACACCAAGCCCATTGGATATCGATATGCCGTTTGCAGTGAGCGTTGTACGTTGCGCGTGTGATCAAACGCGTGCGATACTCCAGCATGTGCTCCTTATCGGCTTGGAGTTGCCTTTTTTTATCCTCGTCTGCCCAGCTCCATCACTTCTTCCTCCTCCGCTCTCATTATCCTCATCCTCATCCTTCCCATCTTTGTTCGGCATCTCCGTCCTCATCTTTCCTCCTCATTCTCCTTTTCGTTGCCGTCCCCATCGGCTTCATCATCACCCTCTTCTTGCCCCCGCTCTGTCCATTCTTTTTCCTCCTTGCCCTTCTCTTCCCCCTTCTTCCCCTCCCCTCGTCCCTCGCCTCTCCTCCCTGAATTCCCTCCCTCGCCTGTGCCCTGCCTCTCCTCCCCTCCCCGTTGCCCTACCCTTGGCTGGTGGAGAGCGCGGGCATGAGGGGGCAAACGTGGGGGGATGTCTAAACATTATGCTCACACTTATTCGGTGTATATATATATATATATATAGGTTCTAGTTTTTGCCCCCCTCATCCTAAGCCGAAACATGGACCTGACTGTGCGACTGCACCTTCAGCAAAGAATGGGCTGGCTTGGAAACCCACGGCTCCAGTTGACTCGGGCACGGTCCTTGTTCCGCGCTGCAAGCTGGCTCCCAGGACAGCTAGAGATTTACCGTGCGCGAGGCGCATGCGATGAGTCGATTTATTGCAGATGCGCCTGAAGCGATCCACAGTCGCAGCTTTTCTGAATACCTGGCGCCCGCCGCACGTCCTGCTTCCCGCGTAGTCCAAATGCGCGCCGAAATTCTGGCGGCCCAGCCTGAATAGGTACCTCCGGGCTGGAAGAAGAGGTCCCACTGCATGCATGCGTACGTCTGCCCTCGTGGAGAACACCACCGGGCCGATTGTGCACCCTGCGACGAACAGGCATGCAGAGTCCATTTCAGAAGCTCGCGCTGCTTTGTAGAAGTACACTCTGTTTTTCGGCCTTCCCGAGGCATCCTCGGGCCCTCATGCTGGACCTCGCAAGGCCCCATCACGGCGTTCTTGGGCCCCCCCTTCCCAGGCTTGTCGGTCCCCTCTCGGTCAGCGAAAATTCGCAGTAAGAGGATTTGTGTGTGTGTGGGGATTGTTGTCCACTCGCGCTAGTGTGCTTTGGCGCGGCGCGCCTCTCAGGCTTACAGACGCGTTAGCGCCCGCTGACGCTGCAGACGGAACAGGTGTGTGGGATTGAGCTCCCCGGACAGCTCGACGAGTACAGACCCCTCTGTGGGCTTTGGTTCCGACGTGTTTCCCAGCCAGGCCCCCACCAGGTCCCCCCTGCGGGCTGCCTGGCACCTCGACATGCGCCCCGGCTAGACCTCGGCCCCCTCCCCGTAGGCCTCCCAGTCTCGCTATCTGGGCCTGGATTGCCATACCCATACTGGCGTTAGCCAGTACGCTACACAAGCAGCAGCGGAGACAACTACATCTACTACTGCTCATGCGAATTCCACTGCCACTGCGAGTGGTGTTCAGGTGGTGGCGTCTGCTGCCGCCTCGGCCGATCCAGCTACTGATGCGAATGCTACGTCTGCTTGCCAGATGGCTGTCGATCGCATTTGTGCTCAGGCTGTTATCGTAATTGCTACGACTTCTATTACCGCCACGTTTACTCCCGCTATTGGTCCTGTCCTTTCAGTCCCCTTGGGTTCCCCCTGGTTGATTTTGGAAGCCCGCATTGTTTGGCAGCTGCTACTCGTATGCGTCGGTTTATTGTTCAGGTTGTTCACCCTGGCGGTAGCCATTGTTGTTTGGTAGGATTTGCGCCTCACTGCGCCCGCATTCGTTGCTGCTACTTCACCGTGTTGTCGCATTCCATGCCTCCGCTCTGGTGATCAGGATATTCTTGCTTTCCCCCAGCTCCGTCTGGCCACCCCAGGAGGTCAGCTGCACGGAGTATGGTCTTCCGAGAACTCCGTCACTGTCTCCGACCGAAGGTGCCATGGGGCTCACGGTTGCTCCATGCCTCGCGTTTTCTGCAAGGTTGGTAACGCATGCGGAAAGTAGGGCTTGCAGAGTTGGTCTTTATGTTTCTCCGTATTTGTGTTAATGCGCAAGGAGTGTTGACGAGTGAGTTGGCTCCGATAGGTAGGTCAAAGACGGGAGGCGGGCGAGCGGAAACGGTGTTGCGCACAACCGCTCGCAGGGCTTCTGGGCGCGCGCCAGGATCACACATGTATTTGATATGTGGATACTGCGTATGTTTTATTTATATGCAAGCAATGTATATCTACACATAAGCATGAGTGCATTTACATATGTGTATATATAGAATACATATGTGTGTAGGATGGCCAGCGTGAGCCCCAAATCGTGATGTAGTCCATTGCGGAGGTGAAGTACATGGGGAGCAAACTACTTGGTGCTAGCTACACCGTTTAAGCTATGCGGGGCAAGCTATTTGGTGCTAGCAATACTGTGCAAGCTATGTGGTGGGAGCTGAATGGCGATAGCCCTGTTGTACAAGTTATGTGTGGTGAGTCACACCGTGCAAAGTATGTGGTGTGAGCTGTGCTGGCGGTGTGAGCTATGATGTGTAAGCCGTTCTACCCCACCAAGGGCACGGGGCGCCCGCGAGTGCCCGCGAGGCACCCACGAGCGAGCACCGGGCGAAACTTTGGAGGAGCCATCCAGGGCACGGGGCGCCCGCGGGCGCCCACGAGGCGCCCACGGGCGGGCACGGGGCGCCAACGAGGCGAAACCTCGGAGGACCCCACCCGCAGCACGGAGCGCCCACGAGCCGCCCGCGAGCGGGCACGGGGCGCCAAAGAGGCAAGCCCACGGCGGACCCCACCGAGGGCCCGGGGCGCCCACGAACAGCCACGAGGCGCCCGCGGGCCGCCCACGGGCGGGCACGGGGCGCCCACGAGGGACAGTTCCGCGGACCCACCCGGGCACGGGGCGCCCACGAGCGTCTACCGGGCGCCCGCGGGCAGGCACGGGTCGCCATCGCGGATGTTTCTCGTCGGGGCCGTCTTCTGACCTCACAGGAGAGGTGAGAACCCTTGCAAGCGCTGCTCGGGAAATACATAAATGTGAACCGACTCGCGAGGCCCACAGAGAGGTTCGGGAAAACTGAGGCCGACCGTTCAACTTCCCAGCTTATCTGGCGCAGGCTTCGGCCGCTGCTCTGTGGCGTAGATGAACTGACACTGTCAACCGACAGTCATGCCCGCACGCGTAATCGCGTGCTCGCTCACATGTTGATGAGATCCACGGCCCATTAAGCCATGTTGTGGTCAGAATATGTAGACAAGGTGTGAAAGATCATACGTGAATTTGGCATGTGATGGCGAAGATGGTGGACTTCGCGTCAGGGTGTAACAGATGGCGCGGGCGCGGCGAACGTGGCGTGCGCGCGCGGGAGGTTGGGGACATGGGCAAATTCAGGAAGGCAAGGGGGGGGTGGTATGATATGGACCAGCTCAACGTGACGTGGGGAAGGTTCTGTTGACGCGGGGGAGACGGAGAAGGCATGGGGATGTTCAGAAAGACGCGGGGCAGTTGGGAATGACATAGAGGAGCTCAGCAGGACATGGGGTAGGCCGCGACCCTTAGCCGGACGGGCCCCGGAGTCCCCCGGCTTTGGCCGGACGGGCCCCGGAGCCCCCCAGCCGTAATCGCACGGGCCCAGCAGCGGGGGGGGCGCTGGAAGACCATGGAGACTTCAGCCTCAGCCCAGAGTTTTTCAGCCTTCGCCGCATGGGCCAGCCTCAGCCAGAGCCCGTATACGCTCCGCGGCCCTGGCTGGGGGAGCCCCGGTGCCCCCCAGTTGCCAGGAGCCCCGGAGCCCTTCAGCCTCAGCCCCGGGGGGGCCTGGCCCCCCATAGCTCGGAATCCAGACGGGCCCATGGAGGCACGGGGAAACCCCCACACGTTCGCCCAACCTTCACCACGGCCATCCCATTTCCCCATGTCTTTCCGCTCTTCTGCATGTTGGTTTCGCGCCACTTACAGGTCCATGCCTCGCTCGAACTTCCCCAAGTTCACTCCCCTCCCCCAGCGACCGCCCAACTTCCACATGTCCCCGGGCCCGTGTGTTTAAGCTTCCCCATGTCCTTTCCTACCCCCTCCACCTCCACACTCGCCAGACACTTCCAACGAAGGCGTCTGTCTTTAATGGGCCACAGATCTCATCAACCCACATGTCGCAGACGGCGCGCAAGAAGTATCCAAGTGTTGTGAGTTCGGCCATGTCAGCGCGATTTAAGTTGTATTGCATGCGGTAGGTGCACACGAGCTTGACATGGACGGTGTTCGACCGATCTACGATGTACATGTGCGGCCACCTCGCCCGACTTCTGACACACTGAAATATCCTGCACGCAGGCTCCACCCTGGACAAGTTAAGTTTGGTTGTCGCCTTGACAAGATCAGGTGGCGGCCATGGTGTAGAGGATGGGTGTTTGTGTTTATCATGTCGTCCTTCCGGGCGTGATTGCTAGCAGTCGTTGGTGCTGGTCCACGTCGCCGGGGATGGTCATGAGTTGGGCTTCTCAAGTGAGCTTCTGAAGCGCACACATTTTGGAATTAGGGTGTCGCCTGAGACACTCGACCCGTGACTTGGAGGGTTACGCCAGAAGGTTCCTCATTTGCACCTGGAATTTGTTTGCACCCGTCGAGCACATGTGGGATATTATTCTGGCCAGCTTCCAGCCGATCCGTCCACGTGTTCCAAAGCTGGTGCATACACAGCTTTGCGCGGGCAAGCTGGGAGCTGACATGGTTCATAAAGGCGCACATTATCCGACGACTCTCATCTACACGTGTAGTTTTGTATACGTATCTTGCCCGTCAGCAAGCACGGCGGGCGGGGTTCAGAAGCTTTCTCGACACCTTTGTAGCGCCCGAAGTTCGCCTGCCCAACCCATTTCCCGTGAGCCCTAGCTCTTTGAACTTACAGGACGGCATGGGGTAGGCACGATGGTCCACGATTCGATCGGTACGGCCATGCGTGCCGTTGTGGGCGTCGCTTCGAGATCGGACACCTCGCGATGAGACCTTCCGGCCCGTCTTGAGCGGGGGTGTTTGACAAGGGCCGCCAGGGGCTCCCGAGCGGGTTCCTTTGGCCTCCAGGGTGCCTTCAAGACCTTGTGGGGGCTTCCTTCAGTTGTTTTAGATGCCAGCCTCTTCAGGAGTTCTCCAGGAGCGTCCAGCAGCTCTCTCCAGGAGCGTCTGGGAGCGCCATCCAGGATCATCAAGGAGTCCTATGCTTCAACCCTCTTCCTCGAGCTTCCAGTTGCAGAGGACAGAGGAGCTACCGAGGAAACCTTCAAGGGACTCTGGGGATTGTCGGGGGCATGGCCTTCAGGAGACGTCCGAGATTGAAGTCGACGAGGGCGTTCACCATCGGGCCGGCTGAAGCCCTTTCGCTATTATGTTGCAGGTTTCTCGCGATGCGGCCCGTGCCCTCCATTGAGGGCTGTGGTGTTTGGATCTCCCCCCTGGGACATCCACACCTGCGCCTCTGATCGATGTTCGACTCTCGACCAGTTCGACTGAGGACAGGCCCACGACGACAAAATATGTTCGCGGCACCAACAGGCTGACGACGACGAGCACCCATACGTCGACGCGCCATCTGCACAGCGCGCTGACAGGGCGCGGTGTTCGGCGCACCGAGTTGTGGTCGGCTTGGCCTGCCGGCCCAGGGGGGAGTGACACGGGCCACATTGCATTCATAACATGAAGCGACTCGCTGTTCCGCGGAGGGCTGATAGGAAACCTAGGCTGGCATGCCCGCTGATGCTTGAGAGGGCACAACTCTTCCGAAGATTGCCCCCGTTGAGCGCCCCATGGTGGTGACGCCGTTGCTTGCAGGATGCTGGTTAACATTGCAGTCGATGTCGTGCCAGGCAGTCTTGACCCTCGCCCGTCTAACCAGATCGTTGTAACAGCTCCTCCGTGGCACGCGCCAGTACCGTCGTTGCTCGCCTCGCGAAGGCTTAAGACAAACATCAAGCCTCTCATGAACACCCTCCGGCAGAACAGGGCGGCCGCGATCTCGAGAGGCCGTTGCGTTAGCTCCTCTGCTCTGTGTCGTTTGGCTTCTTGCACTGCCTCACAGCACTGTGCAGCCCCGCTCCCGTCTCGCTGATCTGCACGTCTGCAGTCTGGAGTGCCTCGGCCCAAGTGGTGATTGGTGTTGGCATGATGTGCCAGCGCCTGCTTTCCTTAGTGCATTTGCGCTTTAGGGTTGCCGCATCGCTCGCACAGACCTACATCGTTTCTCCTCCTTGGCAAGACTCTCTCATTGTCCCCGTGCCCGCGTATTGGTTATTCGCCACCTCCCGTCCCCAATAGGCCCCTGAGTCCCTTTCTTCGCTTGCGCAGCTGTGGAGCCCCTCATGCTCGCCTCGATTGTGTTCGCTCGATTTGCTGCTCGTCCTTCGCCTCGCCCCCCGCCGCAGCCCGCGTCACGCCCGCCGGTCCCAGAGCCCACCCCCGACCCTGCGCCCTCAAGATTCCCAAAAGGGATCCAGGCGTCCCCCAGAGATGGGCCAACATATTGCCCCCGAGCCAGCCCAGAGCGGCTCCGAGACGGCCTCAGCCATCCCAAAACAAGGCCCCCAAGGAGCTCCCAGTTGCTCCTCATGTGCCCCACAGCAGCATCAGCAGCCCGAAGGCGCCCCAAGAGGCTTCAAAAAAGTTCCAAGGTGGTCCCCATCACCCAGGATGGTCCCAAGAGACCTCCTCTCCTCACCCTCACCCTTCACTTGTCCCTCGCCGCTTTGTCGTGGAAGAGCCAGGGCACGAGTTTCACTTGTTTCCCCTTTTTCCTACCACCCCTCACACTTCCTGCGCCCGCTGCTCTCTCTTGCGATGCGGAGTGTCATCAGGAGTTCGTTCCCATTGCCACGCAACCGCTCGCCATAGACCTTGGGACACGCTCCCCCAGGAAATGTTCGCGTGCGCTGGCGGTAGCGCGCGTCATGTATGGTCGTGACCGCATCCTTGCATGTTGCGCGCTCTGTGACGTAATCGGGTGTGAGTTTCTCTGTCCGCGTTGCGTTCGCCATCGTTGCGTCTGGCTCGCACACTGCTGGTTCGGAGGGCGTGATTGTTGACTTACTACAGCCAAGATGCTGAAATAAGCAACAGTGTGGGTTCGGAATGGGCTCGATGTTCCTTAGGTTCCTCCAGTGCTGTTCCTCTTGTCCTCCTGGGGCACGGAGGCGCTTACAGGGCCAAGAAGGGGCTTCGTTCCTTACTTAGCGTTTCTTCTTTCAGCAGCTCGACTGTACTTGCACAAGCTAGGCATCCTCTGCCTCTACCCTGGAAGGTACTGTCTGCCTGGACGCGAGGGGATCATCAGCATTCTCTTGGTGTGGCGATTATTTCTTTTCTGGGGTCGTCATTCTTTCGTGCAGTTCGGGACGATTTCGTCGCTTGGTGCGCAGGCGAAGTGCCTGCTGAGCCAGGAGTGGCACAAGGGCTCGAACCGCAAGGCGTACCAGAGGCAGCAGAAGATAACCCTACAGGAGCGGGCCCCTCACATCTCAATCCCCTCCCCGCACACTGCCCTCCTTCTCTCCCCTCCCCATCCCATGTCACCTCTCCACCGTGCCCTCAGTCAGAGGAAGCGTCGGGGACAGGAGGCGCGTGCGCAGCAGGGGAGATGTCCGAGGCGACGCGATCGCTGACTGCGCGGCCCCACGCGCCAACAAGAGCTCGCACCCGATGCTCGGCGGGGCCACCCCGAGGTCAGAAAACCGCCAAGACCACCCGAAAAACAAAAACCCTCATACGTCGAACCTCGAGGGTGTTGTTTTTACTCTCTGGGCCATGACGCGCGTTATGCCTCTCCCCCTCCCTCCCCCTCGCCCCTCCATATGAAACGTAACGCTCCTCCCCTCAGTGCGCCCCCGGCACTGCCGCAGCGCGTCCAGCACCACAGTCTGGTGGGGGGGGGCACTGCGTTGTGCCCCCTCCCGTCCCGCTCCCCTTCCCCCCTATCACGCCCATGATGGCCGCTAGTGACCAGTTGCGCTCCTCGAGCCCGAACCTCGGGGCCGTCGTTTCCAGGTCAGGTTTCGCTCAGAGCCTGGGGCCTGCCATGCCGGATCCCTCCGCAGACCCAGTCCGAGAGCCCCGCGCCTCGCCAGGAACGCCGCCGGGCACGCTGCGGTGGCTGCTGCGGTCTCTGCGGCCCGTCTCGTACAATTTCAAGCAGGGCGCGGATGCCAAACAGGTCCGCGGGCGCCCAGGCGGAGCCGGGAGGAGGAAGAGGTCCGATACCGTTGCCCTGGCCACGTGTTCGCTTCTCTGGGGGCCTCCTGGGAGGCCCGCCTCGCCACGGCTGGATTCGTCTCGGAGTCCTGGTCAGACCGCGCCCCGGGAGAGGTCTGGGGAGCAGCGGCACCGGCATCTTCTGGAGTTTCCCCAGGCCATGTCCAACCGCGGCTTCGCGAGTCCAGCAGGGCGATCACTGGGAGGAGCAGGAGGGACGAGGAGGGGGGGGAGGGGAAGGAGGAGAAATAATGACAGCCAGGGCGCGGACAACTACAGTCGGGGCCCAGGAGCGGCGGCTGTGTCTCGGGCCGCCCCCGAGAGATTGGTCGGGGAGGCCTCGTCGTGGCCGGGGCTCGCCGTCGCCAACGAAAACTCACCCAGCGCGCGGGGTCCCTCCAAGGTGAGCACGCAGTCGTAGCGACGGTGGGAGTGCCACACTCTTGGATCGTGGCTGGAGCCTCGACGGCATCGTGTTCTTGCGCGCACACTTACTCTGCACCGCGATGGTGTCACGTCGGCTCGAAGGAGGATGAACAAGAGCAAGGGCGCAAGCAGTTCTGGTACAGAAGGTTGTGGATCGGTTCGTCGAAATCGTTGTCCAGGCAGGCTTGCCGACGTGCGGGGGGGGATTCCACGTCGCTGCATTGGATGAAGCTGCGTCAGGTTCGCAGCGGTAGTCGAGCTCTCGGTCAATGCCCTTCTTCCTCTCCCACCTCCGCCTTCTCCTATCTCATGTCCTCTTTCTCATCTGTCTCTCCGTGCCCGAAAGGCCCCGCTTCCGCATCCCTTGAGCTACTCAGGTGTGGTGACCGCCATTTCTTGACCACCCTTTTTCGTTTGCTCGATTGTCTTCGACGCTTCGTGGATGAGGCGATGGTGTGGCTGGCCCCCACCCAGCGGTTTGCATGTTTCACGTCGCAGCGCGGCAGGGGCAGCCCGCACGCGCGTCCAGGCAACCCGGGCTGCGGAGAAGCGGATTGGCCCACATGCCAGAGGAGGGAGAGGTCCCGAGGGGCGGCCGCAGAGGCAGGATGCGAGAGAGGAGGGCGCACTCGAGCGGCGAGGCCGCCGGGGGGGCGCGCGGGTCGGCCAAGCCCTTCGGGGAAGCACACGCGCTGGCGGAAACTTCGGCCGAGCTCCATCTCTCGCGGGTCGCCAGGGCCCGCGTCCACTGGCGGAACGCGCCGACTGCCGGCCAGACCTTGGGCGCGCACGGGTCCGAGCAGCCGCCGCGCTCCGTGCCTCTTGTCACTCCGAGCGCCGGCGACGTCGAGCACTCGTGCCCGTGATCCCGAGCAGACGTGGAGCCGGTCTGCGGCCATCGGACGTGGCTAGGACGACACATCCGTTCCAGAGCGCTCCAGAAAGCTCTCAGAGCGTTCCGGAGCGCTCTGAGAGGGCCGCGGCGCCCGAGACATCTTCCAGAGCCGGCAGACCTCAGAGGTTCTCGATTTATCCTCTCCCGATTTTGTCCCCGCCCTGGATCCGTCTTAAGACGTGGAGTTTGGTCTGCGAACACTTTCGAATCCTACCCCTGCGGGTCCGATCGACGCTGGGGCATCGGGTGTCGGACGCTGCCGCTGGGGGTCGCTCGGCTGCAGGCACTTTCCGGATTCTGAGCCCCGGCCGGCGCGTCAGAGATCTGAGCTGCAGGGGTGCGGTCCGGAATTCTGGCCTCGCATATCGGCCGCTGGTTCTGGTCCACCACTCTTCGGCGCGGCACGCTATCCACGTCCCCATTTCCGAGCGTTAACCTCACGCGTCTTTTCCAGCCTCCCGCAGCGCGGAGCGGAGCGATACGCTATCAGCTCGTAGGGCATAGCGTGTTGCCTGGGCCGCCGCAGCGACACGTTAAGCAAAAGTTCCCGACCGTAGCCCGTTTATGTATCCCCTTGGCGATCACGGGCGTGGCCCTGGGCGGGGGGAAGGGGGGGGGGGAAGGGGAGTCGTCACGTGATGATTCGCACCCGCGCCTTTCGGGAATGCTCAAGAATCGCCAATCCCCGGTCCGCGCCCGCGCGGATGGGGGCGTGACCAGGGGGGGGGGGCCGCGGGCGCGGACCGTTCACAGGCCTTCCTGCAAAGGCCACAACGGGCTCCAGGCTTCCCGCGTGGTCGCCCAGCCCCGGCGCTCCGCTGGCGGCCTCGAGCCCTCCAGGGCCACCGCCGGCGGGCTTGCCAGCTTGCCAGAGGAGCCGGACAGGGCTCGGACGAGGATAGGGCAGAGCCGCTCTCAGAGCGTTCCGGAAAGCTCTCCAGTCGGGGCTGGACAGACCTCCTGCCTTGACACGTCGATTAAGGAATTGGCCGTTTTCGGTTCGCGAGGGGGCGTCGCGGCCGTCATTTTTGCGGGTCCAGGTCCGTCGGTTTCGGTCCCAGGCCGTTTTCACTAAAGGGAGGTTTACTAAAGGGAGGTGTGTCCACCGCCGATCCAGAGCGTTCCGGAACGCCCTGGGAGCGGCGTTTGAGACATTTTCCACACAGCCGCGGGGTCTCAGGGATTCGGGATTCATCCTTACCCGATGGCTTCCGTCCTGGCTTCGTCTCAAGAAGAGGCACAGCGCCGCGGCCTCCCCGGGCGCGGCAACGGCGCCCCGCGCGCGAGGTCCGCTTCGGCTTCATCGCCCAGGACGTCGAGCGCGTGCTGCCCCAGGCGGGGGGTGCACGCCCAGCGGGGAGACAAGCCGCGTGAGCCCTGCCGCAGCCTTCACCCCCATCGTCCGCAATCACAGATCCCTGACGACCTTCAGGGGCAACGATAGGCCATGAGATCCTGGCGTCGCAGTTCTTTCACAACGGGTTTGTTCGCTCAACTTCGGGCCCAGGGGCCCTCACGGATCGATTCGGCCCGAAACATGTCGCAGAAGGATGGGGTCTGGGGCTCCGCTCGCGATGCTCTGCGATGTTGCAGTTGTTGTGGTCGGATCTCATGGGGGGATGACAGGATCAAGGGGGAGCCCATCGACCCCCCAATCGCCCAATGATCGCCGATAGGGGCTCGATAGCCCACCCACCCCAGGAGCGTGCGGATTCACTTTCGAAAGCCCGTATCCATTCTATCGGCGATGTATCGCCGATGCCAGGTCAATGTCCCCCCCTCCCCTGAGCCAGACATGATTTGGTGCAATCCCATCGCGGTTCCTCGGTTCCGGCCTCTGGGACCCTTTATCGAACCCCAGGACAATCAAACATGGATCCAGGAAGAAAAACACAGATCGCATTTTGCTTTAGATTCTGGCAAGTCTACTTGCATACCTTTTCCCCCCCCCCTTCGCCGCACTTCCGAACCGAGCTTGGCCGAAGAGGCGTGCAAGCGGGTCCCGAGCCGGGTGAAGCGCAGATGTTTCCTTTCGGGCCTCGCCACGCCCTTCCCCTCTACCCCCCTCCACGCAAGTGAACTTGCCAGAGTCTATAGAAAGACAGTCTCTGCTCTGGCCCAGGCCCCTGGGGAAGGGGTCGAGAGCTCGGGGCCTCCCTCCTCCCTCCGCGCAAGGAAAACTTGCCAGCGTCGAAAGAAGAGCAGCCTCCGATCAGGCACCGGGGGATAATCAACACATTGACCCAGGGCGACAACGAGCCCCCAAGGAGGGTGTTGGGAGCTGTGGGGCCGCGGAGAGAAGACATCATCTGGAAGGAGAGAGAGGTATACTATAATAAGTATGAGGGTCTTAATAGTAATACGAGTAATATCGCTATAACTACAGTGATATGTACACACATATATATATATACATATATGTGTATATACACATACGCACATACATGCATACACACATACATACATACACACATACATATATATATATATATACATACAACCATGCATACACACATATATACATACATACACATACACATACACATACGCATACATACACACATACATACATACATACATACATACATACACACATACATACATACATACATACATGCATGCATACATACATACATACATACATACATACATACATCCATACATACATACATACATGCGTACATACATACACACATACATACATACATGCGTACATACATACATACATACATACATGCATGCATGCATACATACATACATACATACATACATGCATACATACATACGCATACATACGTACACCAATGTACACATACATGCATGCATGCATGCATGCATACAAACATACATACACATAAACATACACATACGTACATCCATGCATACATACAGACGTACGTACGTGCATACATACATACATACATACGTACCTACATATGAACATGCACATACATATACATATATCAGCGAATCGGATTCACACACCCAAAAACATAATCTGGGAGGATCTCTGGGACTGTTCTTCTCATCGCCCGCATCGTCGCCCCAATCATGCTGCACTGTGCCCTTCTTCGGCGGCTACGGCGTCCCGTGCAGATGCGAGGCCGACTGCCGGCGGGTCGCTGTTTCGGCTCGTGGTTGCCCGCTCGGGTTCTGAGGCTTCGCGCGAAGACGCGGAAGTTCTACCGGTCTCTGCCTATCTGGCCCAGTTGTCGTTTATGTATCTCTCGCATGCGTGGTGACGGTGTTTGCAACATGTGGCAGCTGCTGTTTACGGGCAACAGGGTGTCCCATGGTGCCCTTCTCTTACTGATGACCTACTCGGGCAACGACACAAAGCACACACAGTTTTGAACGAGAAAGCTGCTTTCAAAGGGTGGCGCGCAGTTCAATCTCATAGCCTTGCGTTCTTCAGTTCCCTTCCGTCCGCCCCCGTCCCCACGCCCTCGTCCCTTCCAATTCTGTACATCCCCTCCCCCCACTGCACACCCCGCCCACGCAGGTTGTGCACGACATCAACCAAACTACAGAGAAGGTTGACGGCCAGGAGCCAGCGGGCAGGGGAAGTTGTCTCCACGTCGCGGGCAGGTCACGAGGCCGTTTTTTTGGGTAGGCCACGGATGCCCGCTACAAACACGGACGCAAGGTCAGTGCAAGACCGCTCGGCCATTCAATTGGTTCAAAAAATTGTTTCAACATTTTCAAGTCACTCCGAAGGTGATGCTGGCGTATCCACTCCTCGGGGATCGCGCATCCCAGGGGTTTCGTACCGGCCCGCACCAGGGGTGCCGCCAACACGAAACCCCCATAACGAGCGATCCTGGGGTGTGTGGGGGGTTTTGCTCCGCACGCACCACCGACATATATGTGTGCATCCTGGAGGCTTCCTGGGGAGCTGCTTTGTGGACACTTGGCGGCCTTGTGTAGCCTCCTGGGGGTCTGTTGTGGGCTCCTTTTGACGCGATGGTTCTGCCATTTTGGGGCGGCTGGAGAGGTCCTGGGGCCGTCCTGGAGCCCTCTCGGGGGGTTCTCGGGCAGTCCTGGGGCCGTCTGGGGGCCCTTGGACCGCAACTGAACTCGGCCAGGAAAAGATGCAGCCAGGCTGAGCTCGGCCAGCTGGACTCGGCCAGGCTGAACTCGGCTGGCTGATTTCGGACAGGCTGATCTCGGCCAAGCTGAATTCGGCCCGGGCAGGGTTCAGCCTGGCCGAGTTTCAGCTGGCCGAGTCCGAGTTCAGCTTGGCCGAGTTTCGCCTGGCCGAGTGTTCCTCTCGTGCCTTTCCGGAATGTATTGTGCCCTGTTGTTGTTGTTGTTGTTGGTGTTGGTGTTGTTGTTGTTGTTGTTGCTGTTGTTGTTGTTGTTAGTGTTGTTGCTGTTGTTGTCGTTGTTGTTGTTGTTGTTGTTGTTGTTGTTGTTGTTGTTGTTGTTGTTGTTGTTGTCGTTGTTGTTGCTGTTGCTGTTGTTGTTGTTGTTGTTGTCGTTGTCGTTGTCGTTGTTGTTGTTGTTGTTGTTGTTGTTGTTGTTGTTGTTGTTGTTGTTGTTGTTTGGGAGGTATTATTGGAGTTCTCCAGGGTTCTCCCAGCCATTCGGACCCGAACCAATCATGATGTCAAGTTGTTGTTTCATTGGTGTTGGCATCCTGGGGCCTCGCTAGAGTCCTCGTAGGGCGTCTCTTGGGAGCATCTTCAGACCGTGTGTGGCGCATCGTGGGGACATATCGTCGACCCAAGCCAATCTGCAGTAGCCAATTACAACAGAGACGGTTGAGCATGAACATGGTGTTATGTATTGTTTGGTTTGGTGAAGCATCAGCAGAAGAGAGGATGCCTAATATCAGACCATACGGAAAGGTTGGTCCGTTGGAAAATGAGGATCGGAATGGTGAGTTCTGGACGCTTTGCGTAACCCCACCAGACATGGACCCCTCGGCCCTAGCCGACGGCACCATCAACTCCCTGGCACAGCAGGACCCTGTCCAGACCGCCACCAGTGCAGCAGCGCCAGTGAACTCCCCCGCAGCCTACTGGCTGGACAGGCGCAGCGAAGCGGCAGATGTCTCCCCCCCAACTGGTACAATCCTGGGGCAGGCTGCACAACATGACGACACCTCCAGGCTGGTTCACGAGGCACCCGGCAACGAGGGGACAAAGGTCGTGTCTCAGACCCAAGCCGCGACGGTTGAGCAGGACAGCGCCGGGCAGGCCTGCAAGACAGAGATTGAGCCGCGGGAGCCCAGGAGCCCTGTGTCGCCAGACTGGGGCGAAGACTCAGAGACCGCCGCCGCAGCGGCTAAGGATAGAAGCCCGAGCGGGAGCCCCGAACCTGCGGCCGCGGCGGCCGATGACGACGACCCCCTCGGCGCATTTTCAGTGGCACCCTCCAGCGGCTCCCCATGGACGCCCTACGCGCAGACCGTCGACAAGGACGCAGCCAGGGAGCTCCAGAGGGCCACGGACGACGCCGCGCCGACCAGCGCACCGTCCTGGGAACGAGTCGGGGCCAGAGAAGGCCGCGAACCCAACCCATCTCCCTGGCACCAAGGACGCGACCGCCAAGACTCCGAAGACACTGGGGACGGGAAAGGGCGCGCCGCGAAGTCGCCCAGGTGGAACCCAGTGCGACTGGAGCCGTGCAGGGAACCCTGGAAGGGCACCAGCGCCGACCGCCGGATGCACGGAGGCCTCCTTCACCCCTTGGGCGGCGGTCCCATGTACAAGTGCTCCCTGGCAGTCGCGAGCCTTGACACAGTTGAAGACGTACAGGTCAAGATTGCGCGCCTGCAGAAGACGTCAGGAGGTGCCTTCAACGCTATATGGCACGCGTGGTCCAAGCGCGCGGCACTTGACCATGACGCCAAGGGATGCTACAAGAGCAACCCCTTACTCAACACACCCGAGACATGCTCGGACTTCATGAACGCCTGGGGTCGGACGGATCATGAACAGAGGCTCGGAGTAGACTGGGATGCCATTCGCCGCAAACACATGAAGTTCTCCGAGCGTTTCGGCGCCCTTGCACAGGCCCCCTGGGCATCGGGCAGTCGTGACACGCCAGCCCCCTGGTCAGCAGAGACCCGCAGGGACGGGCGAGCCGTGGCACAGGCACCCTGGGCAGCCAGCAGTCCTTCGGGAGCCTCCGACCAATGGCAAGGCTGGCAGGGCTGGTCCTCATGGGGACATCGCGACACGCCGTGGACAGACACCGAATGGAAAGGGGGAGGCAAGCGATTCCCCCAGCGTGACGACCACCGCGACTCCGAAAAGCGAGGCCGCTGGTGGGCCAAAAGCGACTCCGCAGCCTAAGGGTGATCGGCAGCCTAAGGGTGATTGGCAGCCGCAGCCTAAGGGTGATTGGCAGGACACCTCGCCACCTTTGGTGTTGGCTTCAAGTTCACCCCGCCACCACCCACAGTCCACGCTGGCCCGACAGGGCCCGTTTCACCTCGCTGCGCCCGGCCCGTCGGCCGTAATACCTCGAGCGGGGCCGCCCACCGCTGGGGCGGGGGCTGCCCCTCCACCCCGGCGCAGCATAGCTAGACAGCCTCTGCTGGTTAGAGGCGCGTGGGCAGCGCGCGGATCCCGCAGCCCACCCGCTACCTTTTCGGGCGCCTAGTCGGGCCCCCCCCCCCCCCGGCGCCCGACACATCTCACCCCCCCCTTGCGCACCTGAGTCACGACTGACTCACGACTGTAGAGGCCTCGGCCACCCTGGAAGCAGCTGCCTAGAGATGGCAGACGACCCCCGCTGCACCCCTGACAGGAGAGGAGCCGGCCCAGCCATCCCTCCCTCCCGACAGGAAGCATGCACGGGCAAGGCGCCGGCGCCTGGTGGGACCAGTCTTACCCTGGCGGCAGGGCGGCCGCGTAGCAAGAGAAGGACAGCTCCGTGACGTTGCAATCGTGCACTCTGGGACGGAGAGGCGTGACAGCCTTCGGGAGGCTGCCCATTCTCGCTGCGGCAGATACGGCCCCCCTGGACTTCGATCATCTCTGAGCAGCCGTTAGCTGCATCCCTGGTAACCTCGGCGCGCTTGCAGGTGTTGCGAGGCCTGTAATGCAGACGGGCCGACGATACCGGGAGCAACAGGCCCACAGTAGGCAGCGCCTCCCCTGGGGAAGCTCTGCCCGCCCATCGCCCTCGCTGGGCGGGCGCTCTAACTTTTACCGAACCCTGAGCAGCCGTTAGCTGCATCCCTGGAGTTAGGGCCCGGGCTTCGGCCCTCCCCCTGTGCCTCTCTCGTCGCCAGGTGCCCCTGGTGGGCCCCTCCGCGTGGATGGCTGGTGATGTCTGTCCCTACCGCCCCCCCACGGAGGTCCCAACCGAGCTGGGCGGCCTGTCGGGATCCCGTGTCCCCGCGTCACAAGGTGGGAGATCGTCCATGGACGCGGCTGCCCCCTGGTGCCTTCCTCAGCCACGCTGGCGATGTTCATCCCCGCCAGTCTGGCCACTGTCACTTTCAGTGCGGCGCCTCACCACGCTATGACAGGCGTGTGACTTGGGCCGGGCCCGCAGGGTTCTCCACTGGGCCGGCCCTTTAGCGTGCTCGGGATTGGTGGGCCCCGGGAGTCCCGCGGTCGCCTCGGAGTGGTTCAGCCTTCCGTCTCACGCTGCGCTCCATCGGGGCTCCGTCCCAGCCGTTCAGGCTGGTCTACGCCGTCATCCCCTTTATTGCTCAGCTCACCTAGCTGGTAGACGCCGTTGGCACGGTCTTGGCCGTGGCGCCCCGCTGGCGACTCGACCATCGTTTACTTCGCCTTCGCGACCACCAGACGTGAGAGGGGTGTGGGCAGGAAACTCACCTACGTTCTCGCCTTCACCGAGCGGTCCACGCCGCAGGGCGTACACCGAATTCCCGGGCATTTTGCTCAGGGCTGCACGATGCCCGAGCTTCCCTGGGTGCCCGTCAGCCAGTCAGCCCTCACCCTGCTGCCCCAGCGGCCGCCTCGTGAGCTGGCCCGGCCGGCCCGTTCCGCGCCCAGCAGCTAATTAGGTATGTTTCCGTGCCCAGGACAGCTTCTGACGCCGCCTGCGCTCTTCGCTCGCGGCCGCGACCGAAAAAGTAACCCCACCAGCCCATCCAGAACCGATGCCCAGACGAGTCGCCTTAATCAGGGATATTCAGGAGCATGCAGTGGAACAAACGGCACAGTAGGATCTCGTACCCCAAGAAGGGGAGCACGGGGGAGGAATCGGAAAAGGAGGAGGAAGAGGATGATGAGGAGGAAGGGGAGGAGGAGCAGGCGTAGTAGTAGTAGTAGTAGTAGTAGTAGTAGTAGTAGTAGTAGTAGTAGTAGTAGTAGTAGTAGTAGTAGTAGTAGTAGTAGTAGTAGTAGTAGTAGTAGTAGTAGTAGTAGTAGTAGTAGTTTGGAATCCAGTGCCCCTCTGTTGTGAGGCAGTTCCATAGGAGGGGGGTACAGAGGGCAGGGTGTTTACACAGTTGGGAGGAATCAGTGAATTCAGCATGGGGCGGGCTTGAAGTGCCTCGAAAATACGCGCACCCCAACCGTCAGCATCTGGTTACATGTGGATCACATTTATGGTGTTTTCCGTCGTCCTCCTCCTTGCTCCCTCGTCCTCCTGTCTCGCCCCCTGGACGGGGGTCGAAGCGTCCGCGGCTCGGGCGGGAGAGCGCCCATTGCCCCCCCTTGCTCCCCGTTCCGTTTTTTCTTTGCCTCCCCGCTCCATCATCCGTCGATTCACCTCGTCCTCCCTCCTTGCTCGAAGGCAAGCGAGGTCCCTGGAGCCGCGTGCCCGCGTTGACGTTATACCGCCCGTTCGATGTCCGAGCACAGCGACGTAACCAAGTAGAGGGTGCCAAAGCAAGTTGTCGGAGAGCACTTCAAGCGTCGGCGGCTGCGGCCGCCAAACACAAACGCATCGCGAGCATGTGAAAGCGAAATTATACATGCCCCCCGGCAAAGCCCACCCCCGTGCCAGCGCAGCTGTTTGTATGGCGATGCTTGAGGCTATGCTTGTTCAGAGGTCCGTGACATGTGACACTTCTCGTGTTATCGGACTGCTGCGGGGCCTTGCGGGTCCATCGGGGCCCTCTAGGGATGTATTCGGGACAGATTCGGCCGCCTTGGCGCCGCAGCCCACGGTGGCCGCCCTGGGCCAGGGAACTGTGTATTCGCAGCCCCCCCGGGGCCGCCCTGGGCCAGGCAAGTGTGTATTTGCATTCCTCCCGGGCTGGGCATGTCGATCTCGATTCTGGTTTGGCAAAGTAGGGGCACCTTCGAGGTGGCGAGCGTTCACCTTTTTGAAAGGCACAGATCAATGTGTGATCTGTGTACACAGATTGCGTCTTCAACTGTGTAATCGCGTGCGCGGGTCCACTGTTTACACACATCGTGGTGTGATCTGTGTACACAGATCTTGTTCCCATCTGTGTATTTGGAGTGTGCTCCTCGCGGGTGGTGGCGATTGGGCGGGGACATTCGCATTTCTCTCGGCTGGTCCAGGGGGGGCGTTCTACGCTCGCGAGATACACAGTTCGCGTGTCAAACTGTGCATTTGCCCCGCGCTACTCGCTGGAGTCGCCACTGGGTGGGAATTTCCGTGGATCTCCCGGCTGGTCCAGGAGGGGGCTGTGGTTTGGGAGGGCAGACGGCGCGGGGGTCAGGGATGAGGGGGCATGGGAGGGAAGGGATTCGAGAGGGGGGGTGGCGAAGGGGCCGGGGGATGAAAGGGGGAGGAGGAGAGGGGCGTAAATGGGCCCAGGAGGAGTTGCAGCCTCGGTTTCAGCATCACGGGGACGAGGAAAGTGAGGGTGGGCAAACGGACGGGGGATGCGCTGCACCAGGGCGCAGGGGAGGGGAGGAGGGCAAGGATACGGATGAGGGGGGAGCGCGCAAGGCGGAGGAGGACGAGGAGGGACGACATGAAAGGGCATTGGAGAGCGCGAAAACGAGGAGCGGGAGGGGTATCAGGAGGGGGAGGAATAGCACGGACATGGGGAGGATGAGGTGAAGGCGCGGGGATGCGGGAGGAGGCGGGGGACGGGGCATGAGGGCGAGGCAGTTGCCAGTTAACGCTGAGTTCATCGGTGTTTCGCGTGTCCGTGCGCCCCCCCCAGAAACTAGTTACAGGTGCAGAACTGCGTTATTTGGGTAGTTGTGCGCGACGTGCGTCTAGGCCAAAGGCTCGCGTCTAGGACATTCCTTGGCGTCGCGTTGATGCCGTCTTTCTTCAACAAACTGCATATGCACAGGTTGGCTGAATCTGTGTTTCAACGTTTGCCTCATAGCTTCCTCTATAGTAACAGACCAACGACGGAATCCAAGTAGTAGTAGTAGTAGTAGTAGTAGTAGTTGTAGTAGTAGTAGTAGTAGTAGTAGTAGTAGTAGTAGTAGTAGTAGTAGTAGTAGTAGTAGTAGTAGTGGTGATAGTAGTAGTAGTTGTAGTAGTAGTAGTGATGGTAGTAGTAGTGATAGTAGTAGTGATAGTAGTAGTGATAGTAGTAGTGATAGTAGTAGTAGTAGTAGTAGTAGTAGTAGTAGTAGTAGTTGTAGTAGTAGTAGTAGTAGTAGTAGTAGTAGTAGTAGTAGTAGTAGTAGTAGTAGTAGTAGTAGTAGTAGTAGTAGTAGTAGTAGTAGTAGTAGTAGTAGTAGTAGTAGTAGTAGTAGTATAGTAGTAGTCGTAGTAGTAGTAGTAGTA